CCTACCGAATGGTTAATAAACTAAACACCTAACATCGACACAAGGTAGCTAAAAACCAAAGTCAAAATGCAAAATTCAAACATTCATGCTATAGTAACAAGTCATACAAGCTTAACGATAATACGAAATAAAAGTAAACTGGCTATCTCATTAATAGTAAGAGTTGTATACAAAATAATTGTAGAGCTGATGATAGTTGGTTGTAGAGCTGATCATTACACAATCGATAGGTAAAATTAAAATTCAACTTATCAACTCTTAAACAAAATCAAACAAAAACAACTATACATTTAGTAGGGTGGCATCTTGGTTGGCTTTATTCCCAACATTGACTTTATTGGTGTCGTTATCCTCTACGGGCATGTCGTGGAGATGCATCAACTCCCCATTATGAACGTCGAATTTTCTCTTGTTGATATATTGGTTCACTTTTCAAAAAGGCTACATCTAATTGCTTAATCACACTGACCAAACTAATACACTGCTATCAAGTTTTTACACAAATATATTAGAAAAACAAGAAACAGTAAAACAAGACTTTGAACCCTACAAGATTCTTACACCCTTGTGGAACTCTGATCAAGAAAACTTTGAAGAGAAGAACTGAAAACAAAAATTTGGATCAAGATAACCTAGACTGTGAATGTACAAAAACCTTTATGATTAATGTAAACAACTTTTAATTTATGAAGAAGTCTCTCTCCAATTTCTGAAATCATTTATTTATATATAAAAACCTTTTGAATACACGGAACACAGAATTGGTACAATAAAGCAATTGAAGATTGGTTTAACTAATTAAAATAGAAAGAAAATGAATATTATAACAAATTCAACAATCATCTTGAAGGATGATATTAAAGGATTCATTGATCCTAATATAAAAACTATTGATCCATCAATAAAATATTTTGCATTACATGCAAAAATGTTGCACTCAAACATCTTAGCAATACATATAACACTAAATAATTTATCCTAGAATGATAAACTCTTCTTAGTCTATGTTAAACTGTGCTCTTTATTGTAAATCTTCTTTACACAAACCCAAAATTCCCCCTATCACGTCTCCTATTATCAAGAATTAGCATAAAAAATATCAATACAAACTTGTAATTAATTGTTACGAATTTATATTTGATGCTCTAATAATAAATGATAATTACATCAATTTAAGGACATCAGAAATAAATTTACATTTGACCTTTCAAATTGAAAAATTAATTTGTATTATGAATTATATAATCTGAAATATAAAATTACATTACGAATTCTACAATTAAGAATATGAATTTACATTACACATTATAAAATTTAGAAAGCAAAAATTTACTTTGCAGTTTACTTATGGGGTGCAGGAAGAAATTGCCTACTACTAATTACACCCATATTAACATGTTGCGGAATATTTCTCATTTTAGAATTCTTGTTTTAAAAACTTATTTCAAAAAACTTGTTCTAAAAAACTCATT